CCCTCCTCCCACAGAGACCACATCCCAGCCCACATCCCACAGAGCCCCCTCCTCCCACACAGACCACATCCCAGCCCACATCCCAGAGAGCCCCTCCTCCCACACAGACCACATCCCAGCCCACATCCCACAGAGCCCCCTTCTCCCACAGAGACCACATCCCAGCCCACATCCCAGAGAGCCCCCTCCTCCCACACAGACCACATCCCAGCCCACATCCCACAGAGCCCCCTTCTCCCACAGAGACCACATCCCAGCCCACACCCCACAGAGCCCCCTCCTCCCTCACAGACCCACATCCCAGAGAGCCCCCTCCTCCCACAGAGACCACATCCCAGCCCACATCCCACAGAGCCCCCTCCTTCCACACAGACCACATCCCAGACCACATCCCACAGAGCCCCCTCCTCCCACACAGACCACATCCCAGCCCACACCCCACAGAGCTGAGGAATGCTGAGGGTGGGTAATAAAACAAAATGAACTTGGGCTAAGATCCCAAGGAGGGAAATGTGACCTCTCAGAGATCACTAAGCCTTGACAGACAGTGACTGTCCATGGACGGGCCAAGTTCCACGTGGCTGCATGGAAAGTCCTCCTTCACCCACAGAAGGAAATTCCTCTAGGCTTGGGAAGGGAGGTCTTCAAGAGCTGCTCTGGCTAAAAAGCTCCCTTTCTGTTCTAAGGGTCCTTCCAGCTCTTGATCATGGTATTTACCACTGAGAGAGGCTTAAAGGTCATTTAGCCCAGGGGTTCTTAACCTGGAGTCCACAGACCCCCCCTCCAAAGTTCCATGGTTAGATTTCAGGGGGCCCATGATCTTGGAAGGGGAAAAAGTGACATCTTCATTTCCACTAACCTGTAAGTGACATTTGGCATTTCCTTCAGTGATGAGCGTTTCCAAGCAGGGGTCCGCAGGCTTCCCCAGGCAGGCGACCAGCAGGGTCCAGGACACAAGCCAAGCCCCAGCCAGGCCAATCCCCTCATTTTCCGATGGGGTAAGTGGGGCCTGCCCAGGAGCCAAAGCTTGTTCAAGGACACACGAGGTGGTAAGGAGTGAAGCTGGGAATCAGAGTAAAGTTCTCTGACTCTGGACCCTGCATCCTTTCCTCTGTGTCCCACTATTGTGTGTCCTAAGATCCCTGTCATTCTGGGATCTTCCCTGACACTTCTGAGGGTCAGCAAGGCCTATCAAGAGCTAGAAAGGGCCCCATAGGCCAGCCGGTCCAAGCCCCTCATTTTACAGATGGGGACACTGAGGCCCAGGGAAGTTCAGAGATTTAACACATGGTTTTTCAGAGATGCAGTCTGGACCCAGGGTCTGTGGTTTCAGAGCCAGGACCCCTGGCGCTGCCTCAGGCCACTTCCCTGAAGGAGCCAGTTAGGAGCTGAAGTCTGTGCCCACAGTCCCCGGGTTCAGAGGTGCCAACAAGCAGCCAGACATCCCTGGCCTGGCATTGTCTCCCCACCATCTCCAGTTCCAAATCTGTATCTCCTGTCCCTCTCGCCTTTCCTCTTCCTGGTTTCTTTTTAATGAAGGAAACTTCTCAGCTAATAATTTCCCTGGCTGTGGGGACAGGTGGGATGGTTTAAAGAGGGCTGGAGAAGGTGAGATGGAAAATATTTCCTAATCCATCTCTGTTTATTTGACAGAGAGACAGAGACAGAGACAGAGAGAGACAGAGAGAGGAGGGAGAGAGAGAGACAGAGAGGAAGAGAGAGACAGAGAGAGAGGAAGAGAGAGAGAGAGAGAGAGAGAGAGAGAGAGAGAGAGAAGAGACAGAGAGAGGAAGAGAGAGACAGAGAGAGAGAGAGAGACAGAGAGAGAGAGAGAGAGAGAGAAGAGGGCTGACAGACACACAGAGACTGGAAAATGTGGACGACCACATGTGGAAAGTGCTTTGCACATTACAAATGCTATTATTATCATCAAAATCAGGGAGGGTGTCCAGCCCAGGAAGCCCCTTGACATCTCCCCAAAAAGGGGCATCTTGCTTCCTTTTTAAGATCTTAAACTATCCCCAAAGAATAAAGAACTATGGCGTTTGAATGCAGATTGAAGCATGCTATTTGTTATTGTTTTTCTTCTGTTGTGCTTTGTTTCCTCTTTCTGGCGGCTCCTCCAATTGGTTCTGATTCTTCCTTACAACATGACTAATGTGAAAATATGTTTAATAGGAATGTATATGTAGAGCCTGTATCAGATTGTGCGCCATCTTGAGGAGGGTGGTGGGGAGGAAGGGGGAAAAAATTTTAAACTCAAAAGCTTATGGAAGTGATTGTTGATAAATCAAAATACATTTAAAAAAATTAAAGAGTTAAAAAAACTTCTATTAAAAAATATTTTAAAAATTTTTAATAAAAAAAAGCCCTTCAGAGACAAGGAATTCACTACTTCCTAAGGAAGAGGAGGGGGAAGAAGGAGTGGAATAGAGAGAGGGAGGGAGAGACACATACACACATACACATATACACACACAGAGAGACAGCGGCTCAGAAACATACAGAGAGAAAAAAAAGATACAAAGAAAGGAAAAGAGGAAGATGGGAGAACAAGACAAATGGATTTTTCTTAAAACACTTTTAGAAGAAAAAGTGATAAATTACTGAAAAAAAGAAAACACACTTCAAAGACCCCAGCCAGCAGGAATGAAGAGGAGAGCGACAGCAAGAGGGCACAGAGTTAACTTTAATAATGCCGGAAAGGGGCCCTGAAATAAGCCAGCAGCCGCCTGGCAGGGAGGGAAAGGCCACTCGGAGGTTCCTCTCAGGCCTCCTCCACCCTGTTGAGGGGACAGTCGGAGGCAGGGTTGGACATTGGCTTCCAGCCACCTCCAGCACCAGCCACTCACCCTCTCCATTCTTGACGCCCTGATTCCCATTGTGGGGGGCAGGGGAGGCCCTCAGCCTCCCAGACCAGGACTTGATCAGGAGTCCCTGGCCAGGGAGGGGAGAGGGACAGCTGGCTTCTGTCCCCAAAGGCTCAGGCTGTCGACTGGCCATCAGCTGGATCCTCCAGGCTTTCTCTGGATGCCTCCACAGTATGGGCAACCTCTCTGGGCTTCAGCTTCCTCCACAATCAATGGGAAACAGAGCTCTTTCCCTCTCTCTTCCCAGTTTAGGGAGCACCCTGAAGAAGGCTGCCCACTCCTCTCTGATCACCTCCTACCCCACCAGGGCTTCCCTTCTTGTTCCTCTCCCTCCCTCCTGAACCTTTAGCTGCTGGCAGCCCCACGAAGATTACGAGTGAGGGTTATGAGCCAGACTCCAATCCTCCTCACCACACAGACTGGGGCGCACTGAGAAAATCAGGGGCTCAGCAACACGTAAAGAGACAGAGAGACACCAAGAAAGAGGAGACAGGAAGATGCTCTGGATGTCAGGCCACCCTTACGCTATTCACAGAACACCGACCCCCGGGGTGGAGTTGGGCTCTCTGAGTCTCAGTTTCCTCATCCGTAAAATCTGAGGGCTGAAGTGGAGGGCCTCTCAATCAGGAGGAAAGAGCCCCAACATTCTCCGCCCTTGAGGGGCTCACAGGCTAATGGGATAACCAGTTAAGCCCAAGAGACAGACCCCGTGGACTGAGCATCATCTCTGAGGGAGGCCCTGGCGGGACAGGACCAGGAAGGGCTTTGTGCAGAAGTGGAGGCCAGGGAAGCCAGGAGACTGGGGCCGTTCTCCTTTTGAGTAGGGACTGATGCAGACGTTGGAGCAGGGTGCGCTGGGGGGGGGGGGGTACTCGGAGTCTGCAAAGCCTAAGTTCGAATCTTACTGCAATCACTTACTAGCTGTGAGACACTGGACAACTCACTTCACCACTGCCTGCCTCAGTTCCCTCATCCATAAAATGGGGATAATACTAGCCCCTACCCCACAGGGCTGCTAGAAGGACCGAATGAGATAATGTGTGCACAGTGCGATGCTAGAGACTATTACTGTCACTGTCATCTTTACGTTTGAGGCCTCCTTAAGCCCCTCACCCTGCTCCACCGCACTCTAGATTAAAGCCCCCAGGATCTCGGCCCATTGCTCCGGGGCTACGTGGAGCAAGAGGGGAGGGGCCGGAGGAGAGATGGAGAGACAACCAGGGAGGAGGCGGAAGACAGGACGAGAGGGAGGGCGAGGGGGAGGGGGAGGGGGAAAGGAGGCCCCTCCCAGCCCTGACATCCCCTGTTCTCAGGCCCCTCCCAGCCCTGACATCCCCTGTTCTAAGCTCCCTCCCAGCTCGCACCCGCACACTTTGGGGTCCACCAAGATTAAGGAGATCATCCCACGTCATCACAGGTAAGTGTGTACAGCGGGATGGGGCCCCAGGTTCCTGACCCCGGACCCAGGGCCCCCACTGGGCATGCGGCCTCTCCTGCCTTATCTGTCCCGGGGTTTGTTACAATCCAGTGAAGTCCGAGGCTCATTCGCTGCCAGAGCACGGAAAACCTGCCCTTCAGCGCCACCTCGTGGCCTGCGGACTCACTGCCCCGCCCGAATCCAGAACAGCCTTGGTCAGGGTACGCTTCCCACAGCGCTGGGAGGCGGGGCTATCACAGAGCCAGCAGCGCCCCCTCCTACGCGAAGCCCTCCCTGATCCCCTCACGTGCTCGTGTCTCGCCCCCCTTTACCTCCTACGGCCCCTGCTCAGGCCCTTGAAGGGCAGGCGGGCTTTGCAGAGTCAGAAGGCCTGGGTGCCTTGACAGCTGCTATGCAAGCACTGTCCCAGTGCAAAGGGGACGCAACCTCTGCCATGCGTTGGCTGTGTGACCTTAGGCAAGTAACTTCCCCTCTGTGGGCCCCAGTTTCCCCATCTAAAGAAGGGCCCAGGTTGCCTCTGGGGGTCGTTTCCGGCTCTAGGTCTACGGTCTCAGAGTTACGTGAAGCCCTGGACTCCCGCTCTCCCCCTTCTGGTTGAAGCTCCCCGGGCAGCCCGCTGCGCATGCGTCCTGGAGGGCGCCCGGCGGCGCCGTCTTCCCGGAACACTTTCCGGTCCGGGCTCATGCTTCCGGCCGGACGCTTTAGGGATGGGCTCCTGCCGGAAGTGCCTGGGCGGGCCACGTGGGTGGAGGCGGCATGTCGGCGTCGCTCCTGCGCAAGGGCCTGGAGCTCCTTGGGGAGCCTGCGGGTGAGGCCTGGGTCGGGCTGCGGGGGGCGCTGGGAGGCCACGGTTTGCCCGTCGGTGGAATGGGCCGGGAGGGACGAGACCCCCGGGCCGGACCGTGACGCTGCCTCCCTCCCTCCAGCCTCCGGGCCCGGCCGAGGCCCCCAGAACCGGACCCCCCGGAAGCGGCAGTCCAGGAAGAACCAAGCCACGGTCAAGGGGAAGGTCACCAAGTCGGTGCTGGGTGAGGAGGGGCAGGGGATGGGCGGCGGGGCCCGTCCTCTCCACGATCCTCCACGCGGGCCTCCCTTCTCCGAGCCTTTGCACCGGCCTTGCCCCCCCCCCGCCCCAATGCCCCTCCCTCTTCACCGCCGCTTCCCAGAATGCCTTGCGCGGGGAGCACCGCGCCTGGCTTGTCGCCTGGCTCTTATTAAGCGCGTGCTGTGTGCCAGGCGCTAGAAAGAAGGGGCAGTGGAGGATTCCCCTCCTCCTTCGGGGGGCCTCCTGTCCTCATTGTAAGCGGGGTTGTTGACCCCAAAGGAAGAGGGGCGTGGCCCCAGGGCCGGAGCTAGGAGCTGCCGAAGGGTGGGGGGGGGGAGCATTTACCTGTAAAACAGGTAACGGGTTGGCCCGAGACATGGAGCTCAGGAAGGGCTGCAGAGTCACTTGGAGCCAGACTCCATCTATCAGCCAGTCAGCAAACGCGGCCCTGGCGTCACAAAGACAAACGTAAAACAAACAATCCCTGCCAGAGAGAAGAGAGTATGTGCTGAATGACACAATTAGGGAGGAAGGGGACCACCGAGTGCCTCGAGCCATGGGGTCTTGAACGCCATAGGTAGTCTTCTGGCCGCTCTGTGCAGGGTGACCTTGGGAAGTAACTCTCTGGGCCTCCATCTGCAAAGGAAGGGGGTCTGCCTCTAGAAGAGAGACTGGAGGTGAAGGGGGGTGTTGGCCTGGGCCTTGCCCAAGGCCTTCCAAGCGTCAGAGGCCAGATTTGAACCCAGGTCTGGGATGCCCCCCACCCCCTTTTGCACTGTGCTGCACAGGGATTGGATTTGTTCTTAATGACTCCTGGTAACACCCCACCCCCACCCCCCATCCTTTGCCTCACCCCAGAGGAGTTCAAGAAGCGGCAGGCTCAGGACCACCTGCAGGAGAACCTGAGATTCATGAAGCAGAAACGAGTGACCGCCGACCCGAAGGTCACCACGAAGGTTAGGGCTCCAGCCCCTCTTTGTCTGCTGGGGTCTCCTCATGGACTTCGGGGCATATGGGGGAGAGGGTGCCTTTCCTGTGGGGGGTAACTTAGGCCCTGTCAGGGCTCACCAAAGGGGGTCTTGGTGACCTGGGCCTGGAAGTGGACGGTCTCCGTTGTTGCAAAGGCCAAGGGCAGGAAGCTTTCCTTCCACCCCCAGCCCCCAAAAGAGCTTGTTATCTCATGGGGGGTGGGGGGAGATGGATGCATCTTCTCGTCCATTTAAACCTAATGAGAGCTGAGCTCAAGAGTGGGTGTGTGATGGTCAGCTCCGTTCTGCAGAGATGCAGATCCCAGAGGAATGGAAGGAGAGACTTCCCTACTTGTTCCCCCGTAGGCTGGGCTGCCCTAGAAGGTAGTGAGCTTCCCCATCACCGAGGGTTCCGGGCAAAGGCTAGATTGGGGAGCTTGGATGGTTGGGTCCAGACCCCTCATTTTATGGGTGAGTCAGTTAGATGTGTCCTAAGAGGGATTTTCTGGGTAGGCCTGAAGGTCTAGGCTTCTGTCTTCAGCTTGGATGGTGGGATCGAAGGTCCCAAACGGCCTTGGGTCAGTAGGGCCTGGTGGGGGCCCTTTGGAGAAGGACAGGCGTCCTTCCTGGGCCCCAGAGCATGGGCTGAAAAACTTCCTAGATGGGATCCAGTTCCATGTGTGTAGACAGGCTCCCCTCCTAGGGGCTCCCTGTTGGCCCCCAGGCCTCCATGACTCCTGACCCCTGCCTCCCCCAGGTCCTTCTCCAGAACCAAGGCAGGAAAGCCAGGGACCGACCGGCCACCAAGCCAGAGAAGGAGAAGCCCCAGGGCACAGTGTTCACCGAGGAAGACTTCCGCAAGTTCCAGGAGGAATATTTTGGGAGTCCTGGAACCAAGTGATGGAGAGGAAGGAGCGCCGGTCGGGACTGAACGTGGCCTGGGCTCCTGGGCAGTGTGGGACCACGCTCCCTTTTCAGAACAGGACAGTCCCTGGGCCTGAGTGACTGAGAGAGCCTGGCGGACGTTCAGAGACAGAAGGAGGGCGTGGGTTTCACCTCTCCCGCTCCCAGCTTTGGGAGCTGGCTTCACCTTCATCCTGTACCCCTGCAAACCTCAGGACTGCCAGGTGGGCTGCTGTTTGACACTCAGCCACCAGGTGGCGCTGCTGCTCCCTTAGCTGGGGAGGGGGTAAGGGGGTGGCCCTTGGGGGCTAGAGGTGTGTGGGATGCCACTCAAATTAAAGAACACACAGAGGTATCCAAGGAGAAACAGAAAGTTAATTTATTATCATCAAGCCTCGAGGTTTGGGTGTCCCTCCACCAGAATGCTGTGATGAAAGGAGACACAGACAAGCAAAGGACCTGATTATATGCCCTAATGGGCAAATTCCCCCATCCCACCCACTGGCCACTTTGTGGCTCACGGGCTCACTGTAGCATAGAAACGGAAGACAAAACAATGAACACAATATACATATCTATGTTTCTTAGTTTGCTGAAGTAATACCAAAGAAGCAGTTAAAGATGTGCGGGCGAGCTGGACCCTGCCCTGTACAGCCAGGCCACCATGACTGAAATATAGCAGCAGGTGCATCAACAAAATGGGGGGGGGGGGGGGCTTCTTCAGGAGTTTCAGGCTTGGCAAACTTTACAAACTACTTGCATGGGGGGGAGGGTACTTGGGGTTGAATTCCCGTAAATCAGGTGATTTCTAGTAAATTGAAACTTAGGCCTGTCAGCTTGCTATGCCTGCCTGAGTCTAATACAATTTCTATTTATTCTTCTAAGAAGTTTTCATGGGACCCTCATCCCACTCAGCCTTATCCCAAACCTTAATTACACTGAGGAGTCTTCACTGGGACATCCCATTCAGAGGTTTGACACAGATACTTTTATAAATAAAAATGAAAAGTCCTGCCGTGTTTGGAATGGAGGTGAGCCTCAGTCTCAGTCTGGGGCTCCCCCCAGTGGGGCACGCCTTCCAACCCTGGATATGCCCCCAAATGACAGTAACAGAACCCAAGGAAGGGGTGGGGGACTTGCAACCCTGGATGGTTATCTGCATGTCAGGGAGCTCCGGGGCCGATGGAGGAACCTTGGAGCTCCAAGGAGACAAAAGAGGAAGCGGCTCAAAGGGGAAGGAAGTGACCTGGGGTCATGAAGCTGGCTAATGACAGGGCCTGGGGCCGAGGCCTCAGTGACTGTCCTGCTTCCCTACTAGAAAACCTAGAGTTGATGATGCATTCTCCTTTTTGGTTTCTAGTTTTCTGTCAAATGTCTTAGTCCTGGCCCTGCCCGAGTGAAATGTGAGCTCTTCTCACAACTAGTCCTCAATTCAAAAAGCACCTAGTATATGCCAGGAGCAGCACCTAGTAGGTGCCCCTGAAGCAGACCTGCCTTTGAGAAGCTGACATGTTAATTAGGGGGAAACATCGCAATCACAGAATAGTCAATACAGAGTCATTTGAGCCTGAGAAGAATGGGGCTTGCCTTGCACTGCCTTTCTCAAAGGGCTGCTGGAGCAAACCCTGGGGCTGGAGGGTGGGTTAGTTAGTACCAGGACCGAGGAAAGGACTGAAGGGAGAGCCACAAGATGGGGCAGGGTTGGGTGGGAGGCTGGAAGGAACCCTTCGGTGCCCCTCCCTGCCCCCTTTCCTTGCCATCTGACAGACAGGAAAGTAAATTTCCAGAAAGATATTCATTCTTACTAATCCCAGTGAAGGAAGCTAATTTTCTTAACTCCGAAGACTGGAGAGCCATGAGGAATCTTGAAGACCATCTCCAACTCCCTCGTTTGACACGAGGAAATGGCAGGTCAGAAGTGGGCAGTGACTAAATCGAGGTTATGAAGACAGTGGTGGAGAATAGGAATATCTGGTTCTGCTTCAGGTCCGGAGCCTCGCTGGAGGTGATCTTTGGGCATAGACAAGGAAGGAGGCCACGTACCGTGGGGTGAGTCCTCTACCAGTGGTGGTAACCACCCACCGTTAGTGCCATGGGGCCCTCACATGGAAGGGGTGCCCAAATCTCCAGCCTCCATCTAAGGACAAGAGGGAATCCAAAGGCCCCGCCCCAATTCCACTTCGGATTGCTCTAATTATCAGGAAATGCGTCCTGCCTTACGCGTCTCCCCCAGTAAGAGAGCTGGGACTACCTCAGTTTTCCATTTGTGTGACGGCACTGAGCTTAGAGCTCGGCACACAGCAAGCACTTAATAAACACTTTCATTCTTCCCATTCCTGACGTGAAGCTGAAGTAGGCATCTCTGCAGTTTCCTCCCACCGCCCCTAATTCGGTCTTTCAAGCCCTTCCCCATGACAGTTACTGAGGGGAACTAAATTTCTCCTCGTGAGTGCTGAGGCCTTCTCTCCAGTGTCGGGCCCCTGCTGGTTGCTCTTATTCGGATGTCCCTGCTTACCCAAACGCCCTCTCTTCTAGCAGAAGTGGGAGAGGTGGGTTTGGAACGTCAGAAGTGGTTTGTATCCGTTTGGATAAACGTTTCATTTTCTCTTTTATTGTTTTTTGTTACTAGAGATGGCTCATTGGGCTGGGGATGGCCTACACCTTCACTTGGAAATGAAAGTAATGTTAAAAGATCAGCACAAATGTAAAGCTATTTCAAAATAAATAAATGTGCCCAGGGCTGAGTCCCAGCTAACCATGACCTTCTGAGAGCCCTGGCAAGAGAAGGCTTTGCCCCAAGCTGTTCCAGGAACACAAGCTTAATTGATCCAATTAAGACACCCCTTGGGGGTGTCTTCCCGGAGCGGCTGCTTCTGGGAACTGTCAGGACCCCTGAGGGCAAGGATACGCCTTTCCCCCCCCCCCCCCCCCCCCCCCCGCCCCAGGCTTTTTTGGAGGAGACGGAAAGAGAGCTCACACTTTATGGCTTGGATCCAATACAGAGACATTGGAAGCCATTTCCTGTATTTGGGAGCCTGTCCTATACTTGCTAGTTAACCCTTTGGACGTGGAGTTTCTCGAGGAATCAGAAAAACTTAAGGCCTGCCTGAATGTGCTGCCTTCTGTTAATTTCATGGAAACGTGGAATTTTAGGGTTGGAAGGCAGTTCCAAGACCACGTAGACCACATCTGAAAAGGAATCCTCACCACAACAGACACACTGGAGGGCCTGGAAGCAGGGAGGGGCCAGTCACTATTTGCCAAGGTGGCCCACTCCACTTCTGGACGACTGATTGAGAAGTGTTTTCTGCTGTCCAGCCCTTCTGATCCTGACCCTGATGAGTTTAATCCCTCTTCCACACTTGTGAAGAGAGCCCCCCCTCCTAGCCCAAGTCTCTCCAGGATATACACACCCCCATCACAGGGCTAATTCATTGATCTTGCAACCCCCTAAAACCTATTCTCTTTTTTAAATTTGAGACAAACTATCGAAACCATACCTCCCCCTTCTTGTATTTGTGAGTCAGTTTTTGGACATAAGATAAAGATTTTATGTTTATCCCTATTACATCTTATCAAATTCAACCTATTGAGATTTCTTTTGGTGGGCTGGGAGGACACCTATATGTTAATTCTCTCCCAGCTTCGTGTTACCAACACATCTATTAAACGTGATATCACATATTCAAGGCTTTGATAGAAATGTTAAATGGCAAGGGGCCTAAGGAGACCATAGATCCCTGGGGTGGGAAGTCCCCCAAGGACCAGACCCTGATTCTTGACTTTGAACCATTAATGAGCCTAGTCATTCACTCAGTTCCATACCTACTATATTTAATTATCATCTAAATCCACATCCCTCCATTTCATCAACAGGTTTGGCTAAAATGTAGGTTAACTCACTCCATACGGCATTCCCTGGTCCAAAAAGAAAGGAAGTATAGCATAGTGATCATTTCTTTAAATATTCACTCACTGGCCCAAATTTGCCTCTTGGGGACTTGCACTCCCTGCTTGCTTGGTCCTTAGGGCCAAACATGGCAATTCCCATCATTTTGTCCCCCTCCCCTTTTTTTTACAATCAGGAAGCATGTTTGCCCTTCCTCCCTCTTTTCCCCTTAGCTCCCCTGTTGTTCCACTGCGTTCATCTCCATTCTCACCTTGGGTATCCATCCTCAATGATACTCAAGCCTCATCTCTGAGATTTAATGCTGGGGTCAATACTGTACTCGAAGACAGTGATCATGAGCTCCTCACACCCACACACATCAAAGTGTAGTTACAGGTCCACCTTGTCAGTGGTCCTTGGCCGGGAGGGGAAGAGTTGACTGTCCGGAACAGAGACAAGTTTTCTGTTATAAAGGTCTTAAGAAAGCAGAATGGAAGGCTGATGAGGAGGTTCCCAACAGGCTTCAGAACTGTACATCAGCTTCCACAAAGTGTTGAGGTTGGGGTAATGGCGTTAATTTCCGGTTTCTACAGTTGAGGTTAAGGGTCAGAGTAACTTCACTTGCCCAGTCACCCGAAGGATCAGGGTCAGTGACTGTTCACCAGTTCACGACCAGATTTATTCCTTTCTTGCCCTGTACATAAAAATGTTATTTTGGGTCAGTATTTTGGGTACCACTTGGATACCCTGACCCAGGTGTCATTTCCACAGCCCTTATTGACGCTTGACTTTCCCATAATTACATGAAATCCTTCAGATTTGTCCCCAACTTCCAGCTATCCTTCACGTTGCTCCTCACAGACAGAAGCTGCAAACGACCCACCTCTGAAAAGCAAATTTTGAACTGTTCCTTCCCCTAACCCACTCCCATAGGAATTGGCTCTCCAGTAAAGGCGGGTTTTCAGAATCCAGACCCGTGCCAGGTGAGGGACTGGGCACTAAGGAAGCACATTTCAACCACAAAGTTGCACTTTCACTGCAAAATAATTTATTGAACAAGACAGCACAAGACTCCTATGTACACACAAACCAAAATGTCTGACTACCCAACAATTTAGGGGCTTTTCCTCTTTTCCTTGGCCTTCCGGACCTCTTCTATCAAGTCCTTTAAATACTGGATCTCCTTGCTCAGGGCATCTGCCTTCTCCTTCAAAGCCTCATTCTTCTGTTCCAGCTCTCTGCACTCCCCAGATAACGCCTCCTGTTCTGCCCGCTTTTTCTGCCTGTAACGTGTGGCAGCAGTCTTGTTTTGTTCCATTTTCTTCAGCTTTTTATCTACCTTCTTCTCTTTCTTGTCCTCAAAGGGACGGTCGTAAGGTTTGGGACGGGCAGGGGGAAACCCGGGGTCTGAAGACAACTGGCTGTCATTCAGAGAAGCCAGGGAAGTGGAGGGGCTGTGCTGGGGAGAGCCCAGGTAGGACTCGGGGCTGGTGCAGATTCCAATCCCACTGTCATTATCTGAGGGGGCTTCTTCCTCTTTGATATCTTTTGGCCTCACCCCATAAACAGCTTCTGGCTTTCTGTCTCCTTCCAAGACATCCACTTCGCTACCCAGCTCTAAACTAAAAGAATGGTCTGGCGTGGAGGTCAGGGCCCTCAGAGAAAGGGGAAAAGACTGATGGGAAGTAAGGGGGGTGACACGATCAGGTTCAAGTAGAGTTTCTGGGAACTGGCCAATTGAATTAACTGTTGAAGGGGACTCTTTGTCGCTAGCGGCCAAGGGACCGAACAGATCACACGAGTCTTCCAACGTGGCAATAAGCTCAGAGCAGGTGGATTCCAGGTCATCCGTACCCAGCAGGGCATCGAAGTCAAACTCCTTCAGGTCCATTTTCTCCACCATCCAATCCATGCCCGAGAAGGCATCCTCTGCAAGACAAGCCAACCGGTGACCGGACAGCCCGAGCCACCCCCCCCACACACAAGCCACAGCGCGCAGCCGTCCTCCATCCTCCCTCCCTCCCTCCCCCCCAGCCCCTCCCCCCCGCCTCTCACCCCTGCCACAGTCCGCGGCGTTGACCAAACCATCCAGAGCCAGCCAATCGGAAGAGACTGCCTCGGCCTTGTCGCCGGAGAGCCCATGCGATTTGCAGGGCTTGGCCTCCTCCAGGTAGTCATCTAGGGAGCTCAGGCTGTCCTCAGCCCCCAAACCCGACGGGCTGAAGGGGGACAGCAAGTCCCCCCACAGCAAGTCGCTGTTCAGGAAGCTCATCTCCGTCATGCTGCAAGGCCTTCGTCGGCTGGGGGAACGCAGAGGAGTCGCGGGTGTCTTTTTCGTGGCTGACAGCAGTGCTGCTGCTAGATGCCTTGTAAAGCCTGGAAGAGACCCCGGCCGGGGGGAGGGGGGGGCAGCGTGAGACCCTTCGAGGGCACACCCCCCACCCTACCCCCACCCATCGGACTCGAGCTTCCGGGAAAGTGGCCCGAGGAGGACACAGCGCCCCGCCCCTTCCTCCTCGTGCCCATATATGGGCACGAGGCGCCACCCCGCCCCCACCCGCCCCGCGGGGGCCGCAGGGTGACTCACGCCCCGCCGCGGCCCCTCCGCGTCCCCCCGCCCCCCCAACGCGGAAGCGGCCGCCATCTTGTCTCCCTCCCCGCGCCCTTCTCTGCCACGTTTCGGGCGGGCAGCGCGCCCGGTCCCTCCTTCCCGGAAGAGGGGGGGCCGCCATTTCCTCGCTCTCCCACCTAAACGGGGGGGGGGGGGCGGCCGGGCGGGACTGCGCGCTTTTCCCGAAAGGCCCTTTGAGAGAGCACCGTGAGGGTAGAACGCGCTCTGTTGAAGGAACGTTCTCTACTATTCACTCGCGTCCCCAGCGCCCGCGCCCAGCCCGACACGCATACGACGGACAACTAGCGAGTGTCCGGGCGGCCAAACTTCCCCGCGGGCTGTGCCTCGGCTTCGCCCCTCCCCCGGCCCATCCCCCACTCACGCCATGGCTTCGCCGCTGGAGGTTGCCGCTGCAGAGCCCGGAGCTGCTGCCGCCGCCGCTGCAAGGGCCGATGCTGCCGCAGGCGCTGCCGCCTCTAGAACGCCATGGCGGGCGTCGGGGGGGGGCGGGGGTCGGGGCTGGGGTGGGCCGAGACGGGGCCGGAGAGGACGGCGAGCACGACCGAAAAACTCCGACCTCCAGCTGAACGGGCGTGAAAATGGCGGCGGCGTCCGGCTCGAGCCTCTTATACTGCGCGCGATCAGTGACGTGTATTCCTTCACCAGCTTCGGTGTCCTTCCGCCCGTGTCACGTGACCTCCCCTCCCGGACGATCGGCGCCTTTCTTCTCTCTGTTCTCTTTTCCTCCAGCTCCGGCCATGATTCTCTGGAGAAGGCGACGAAAAGGAGGCAAATGCCTCTAGAAATCTCCCAAAAGTTGGCGAAATGGCAGGAACTATTTTCACAACTCCTTTGCCTCCCCCCCCGCTCGCGGAAGGATCTAAGACACGGTGCGCATCACTCCCGAATCCGGCCACGGGGGAGGGGCGGGGAAGGGAGGGGCTGGGGAGGTAGCGCGTGAAAACCTTTCTTTTATCCTCGGATGGTTTGCGTCAATGTGGAGTCTCGAGGAAACTCGGAAATCTCGCGAGACTCGATGCAAGGAGGCGGGGAGTGAGTTAGGGCACAGCGCTGATTGGCCCCAGCTGGATGACTCACGCCTAGCTCGAGCCCTTATTGGCCCAAAGCCCGACTGTCGGGTTTGGAAGTGGGCGGGCGGCGGGTAGCGACGTCTGGGAGCGTCCCTGTGGGTGTCGGGCCACAGCCCTTCCCCGCCCCCCCCACCCCGTCCTCCACCGCGCCTTCGCGCCCTGGCGAGTCCTGGGTTCCGGACCCATCCGGGGTCCCGGGGACGCCTCGAAGCCTGGTTGGCGGGTTGCCCATCCTCCACCCCCTTCTCCTTTCTAAGCGCGGGCCCGAATCCCCGCCCCCGCCCGGGAGACTGGCGGCAGAGGCTCAGAGAGGGCTGGTGACCACCCGAGGTCACACAGCATTGCAGACCTGGAGGGGAGCCTGAGCTGGTCCTTGCTCCCTTAATGGCCCACCCATCAGGCGTCCTTCCAACTCGGATTGGAAAGATTGATTGATCACGTTGAGCTATATGGAGTCAGGTGAAATTGAAGAGAGATCAATGTCAGGGTGTATGTAGGCTGAGCTCCAAAAAACCGGTTTCTCAAGGAAGGCCAAGTGGGGGGACGACTGGCTGAGCAGCCGGCTCAGAAACGTCCCCGGGGGATGGAGACACCCCCCCCCCGAGTCATTGATGCCGAGGCCACTGCTGGGGCGCATTTAAGTTAGGCGTGCAGAGAGGGAGGCGTGGTCCTGCTGGGACCCCCAGGGAGATGGTGCCCCGGGAGGAGAAAAGCAAGGTTAGGGGGCACGAGATTAAGTGTCTTCTTGGCCTGTTTTAGGCCGTGTACCTTAGAACTGAACTGAGAGTCTCGGGAAGGGGGAGGAAGAAGCTTGGGGGAGGCACTGAGCCTCCCCAAAACCTCCCCCCAACAGCAGAAGCAGATTCGGGGTTGGTGCGGTCCAAGCATTGATTAAGCACCCTGGAGCAGGTCTGGGGATAGAAACAAAGACAAAAAAACCGGCCTTTAAGCCCTCAGGGAGCTCCCCGTCCGACAGAGGGGCTCATCTCTTGGACGGGGTTAGGGGTGGCTTGGACCAGATGGCCATGGGTGGGCTCTTCCACCTCTCAGATTGTGACCCTGGAATTGGCAGCAAGTTTTTCCTGAAGTGGAGCCCAGGGATCTGCCTGCCTGCGATGCAACCTCTCCTCGTGGCTCCCAGAACAAAGCTGACAGCCCACCGTGGCCCCTCCTTTTCCTCCCCCATCCCCCCACCCATCCTCTTCTTGGGGCTAAATACTTCCCGGTCCTGCCTACTGATCTTTGTTTGGTATGTTATCCTGTCACTCTCCGCTGCATGTAATCCAGTTTGCCAAATGCTCTTCTTTAAAAAAAAAAAAAAAGGAACGGAGGGGCAGCTTGGTGGCACAGCGAATAGAACACCGGCCGTGAAGTCAGGAGGACCTGAGTTCAAATTTAGCCTCTGACGAAACGCTTGACACTAGCTGCGTGACCCTGGGCAAGTCACTTAACCCCAATTGCCTAAAAACATGAAATTTAAAAAATGGGATGCCCCAGGTGTGGGCTGATAGAATGGACAGACGGCAGGACTCTCCGTGGCCCTCAACATGGTGCCTCTCTTAACAAATGTATTCAATTTCCAAGAGCCTTTTGAAAAGGCAGCCACGTCTTACTGTTGAGTCATGCTAAAATGCCCAGATCATTTGCGCAGCTATCTGTCCGTGCCTCTGTCCTTGTGCAGCTGTCCTATTCCTTAGGGTTCACTAGGTTTGACCCATCATCCAAGCCTGCTGAGGTCTTTGCAGATGCAGTCATTGCTAGCTTTGCCGTCTGCAAACATCCAGGTCACAGATAAAAAATGATCAGCCTCGGGCCCCTGGATGTTCCACTAGCAGGCTGCCAACCTCCAATTCGATCAGTCATCCCCTTCCACATGCCCCAATTCTAGTCTCACCTTCATGTAGTTCACCTCCATCTAGTCCATGAGGACAGTATGACAACAGTCCAACGCTTTCCTGAAAACTAGAGGAGACGATGCCTGAACTCGCAGACCCGTCTCTTCAGTAAGACTCATACTTTGCCAGAAACATGTCAAACTCACCTGCTTAGAGTGTGCTGCTGTCTACCCCTCTTAGAACATATCAAGAAACCAGAGGCCGAGAGAGCAGACAGGATTTACCCAAGGCCAGAAGTGGGCCAGGCAGGTGAGAACCTACTCTGGATTTCCGTTTCTGCTCTGCTGGAGCCATCACTTCCTTGGGGGCATCAGTTTCTTCCTCTGAAAAAGGGGCCCTAGGTGATCTCTCAGGTCCCTCCCCATTCTAAAATCCTGTGAATCCAATGACCCAGGTTCAGATACCATTTCTTCCCCTAGTTAGAGGCAGCAGGGAGTCGGTGCCAGGAGGTGGGTTCAGATCCTGGCATTGACTACCGCTGTCCCCCTGGCAAGTCACCTTCCTCCTCTGGGTGATCAAATAACCTCCCAGGTCCCTGCCAGCCCTGAATCCTAGAGAATCACTTCGCCTTCTCTGGGTCTCTGTTCCTGTCAGCTGAGGTAGGTCCTGATGACTGCAAATCCCATGAGCCAACACAAATCACCTTCCCTCTCTGGGCTAGTTTCATCTGTAAAATATGGGTGTTAAACTAGGTGACCTCAAAGCTCTCCTTTGATTCAAAAAGCCCATGATCCCACCTGGCCTGTCTCCTAGACCTGCCAATAGCTTAGAGGTGCATGACCACTAAGTCATGGTACATCTATACAGGTACAATGTAAGACAGCAGCTGACTGTACCTGCCCTCACCTGACACTGAAAATTATTAAAGGGAACAGAACCAGGCCAGAGTCCCCTTAATTAGGTCTTTATTGAGACGTCATGGATATGTGAAGCCCTGAACTAAGGGTTAGAATGGAGAGATGTGATTGAAGACGCCGATCGCCCCTTGCATGGTTAAGGAATGTGGATTCAAATCCTACCCCTTTTTTTCCCTGACAGTGACAGATATAAAATGTTGGGGGTGGGGGCTCCACAACCTCAAAGATCTCTCCAGATCTCTTACGAACCAACTTTCATCTTGAGTGCTATGAGGGAAAAGATAATGGCTCTAAGTACAAATCCTGGCTTTACCACATGCCCTGTGCATGTGACTCTGAGCCCCCATTTCCTTCTATGTAAAACGACATTAGACTAGCTAAGGCCCCTTCTAGTTCTAAACCTGCGATCTGAAAGGTTTGCTGGACTCTTCATAAATCAGGACTTGGGCTGGATTCAGCTCACTCAGACTGAAAATGGGGAGGTGGGCGGGGAATGGAGGGTACAACAGCTGTGGAGCAGCGCACGCACTGTCCGGTTTCTTCAGTGTAGTCAGTCACTAGCTTTTCCGGGAAACAGGAATTTCTATGCCCAGCCAGGAAGCAAGCCAGAGGTACCTCGGGCCTTCTCCAGGCTCGATGTTCTAAACCTGGAGTCCAGTAATGTTTTCAAGCGCTCTGTTTCAACGTACTGATTTCCTTTGTCGGTCTACGGGTTTTATTTGGGGCACTTCAGAGCATGATTCTGAGAAGAGCTCCATCCATAGGAGGTGCTCCAGGCCAAATCCAGGAACCATTCCATGTTGACATCAATCCCTTCTGATGCACCCGACATTGCAAGGAAATTGGACGTGGGCCATGGCCCAATTCAACATGGGCCTTCCCTGCTTCTCAGAATCCTCTTCCAGAGAAATAGGATGAGGGAGAGAGACACACACACAGAGATCGTGTGTGTTTGTGGAGGATAAAATCAACAATGTGAATAACCATTTTGTGTGTGGACACACACAAAGACACTGAGACATGAAAAACCAGGCCTGCTTCAGGAACAGGAGCCACAGAAAGCATGTGATCTTCCCAAATTACTGAGAGTCCTAGAAAAATCCAGGAGAAAAATGCTCACTGCAGATGGCCAAGTAAAGGGGTCCTCGCTCCCAGCCCTCAGCCCCAGGCCAATTTTTAAGCTGCCAAGGGAAAGGCCAGGGACACCCAAGTCACCTGCCTGGTCCTGAAGGCCTCAGTGGAGCATCTCAGCCTCCACCTGGGGGAAAGGCAAGACCCTCAGACTGCAAGCCACTGAGGAACGTGCCCCACCCTCATCAGTAGCCTCTACACAGCGAGGTCCATTGAGAAAATACGTTTGACCTACACCAAACACAAAAGCAAAAGCTGAAGGATTTGTTTTTATTTTATGTTCCACTCTTTCATTTCATAGATCATCAACTCCCTCAGCCTCGACACTTTAGGGGAGGAGAAAAGACAAGATGCAGGTTCCAGGACTTGCACTAGGCAGACTGCCCGACAGGACCGAACAGAACACTTACCCAGACACCTTCTCCGCCCCCTCCCCATAACCTGCCCAGGTCACCTGTCAACCAGCCCCGACATGTTTGTAGACCAAGGACACTGCAGATACTCCACTCCATAGAGCAAAGGGCAGTTTGTGAGCTCAGTCAGAAACCCTGCAGGTCACAGGGCAAACCAGATTCCAGAGACAGGGAACAGGAGACAACCACACCACCCTGGGCCTGCTCTCCTGGTGCTTTGCTCAGTTGTCTTCACTAGGCCCTTCGAGGTCTGCATCCCCACAGCAGAGCAGGGACGGGCCTCTGCTACAAGCCGGGCAAGCCTGGCCGGGCACCTCGGGCTCCCTGCCTTGGCTCCTACGCCAGGAAGGGCAGAGTCTCTCTACCAGGCCAGTTTCAGGGCCAGGGCCACTGCCTCAAGGGAAGGAGTCTCCACCCTCCCTAATGCCTGCTGGACCCTGAGGAGCTACCGGCTCCCTTGCCAGGATCCCCTCCACCTTGGCTCTCTCCAATGAAGCAGCAGCAGCAGCATCCAAGGGAGCAAAGGAACCAGGCCAGAGGACTGCTGGGCATGGGGGCTGTCCCTTCTACCAGGAGCACGAACTTTTAAAAACACCAGTTACTTCTTTCCTCAATGATAAAAATGCCTCAAGCAAACAGAAGGCTTGGGGGAAAATACCCATTGTTACCCTAAATTGACATCTGGGGTTAGGGACAAGGAAGAACCCCAAACCTCACTGACTGACTTGGTTTCTGAGATTCGAAGGCAGGCCAAATAAACTTGTTTAAGAGTAACTGTCAGCAAAGAACTTCCCTAGGATCAGCTGTTACTGGACACAGAATTGATGTGGGGGCTCACTCGCACCTCGCCTTCCCACCCAACGCTGGAATTCGGCGAGCCAAGAGCCCCCCGTCCCACAGAACATCACCCAGAGCCATTTCTCTTTTTGATCCTGTGGACTTGTACCCTATCTCCTCATCATATGGCAAGATCAGCTTTTCTGAATCGGGAGACATACTGGAATACTTCTTCCCAATTCAATGAAGAGGTTCCTATTCACGTACTTTTCCCCTCTGAGAAATGTGTTTACTTCATCAGAGACCCTGGGACCCAGTCTTACTGGTTTGTTGGTCTGGTTTGATAAGCTTCGTATAGAATTCATGTTGAGGTGCTAATAATGTACAGCTGGTCTGGTGTAGCAGGCTAGAGCGAAACTGCAGACTTTTAAAATACCTTATTGGGAGGATCTCCCCAGTGCCCCCCCCCCGGAGGTCTGTTCTCATCCTCCCCACCCCTCAGGAGCAATCGGAATCCCATACAGACACACAATCTCTCCTACCCTCTCTCCAAAAAGTAAAAGCACCCATCCTTCTCGATAGGAAATAGAGGGCCAGAGGGGGATTCCCAGAAGAGGCCCCCAGAACTTTGCTTCCCAGACCATGACAATACACAGGGGCCCCAAACCTAAATGAGGACTTGGTCCCATGTGGACCATTTTGCCATTAAAGTACAAGGAAAAGACAGCTACCAAGTTGTACAAGAAATCTCATTGAGTGGGGAGGTAGAGAAAGCAGAAGCAAAATACTCAGATTTGGCAGTGGGAATACAAAATACTGGGTAAGAAGTCCAGAGGTAGGGCCAGCAACAACCCCTTACCACAAACAGAAAAAGAAACACAAAACAGTAAGACACAATGACAATATGTATTAAACTCCCCCCTCCCCGCCCCCAGAATAACTTTACATTGCAATAAATAGTGCATTTGTAGCAGCGGGCAACAAGGGAAAGGAAGGAGAAAGTCTCTTCCCCTCTCCCCTCCCCCCCATCATTTGGCCCTCCAAGGCCCTTCTTTCCAAATGCTGACAGGTAGATGTGACAAAGGGAAGGCATATGCGTGTTCTGGCAGCCTCTGGCACAAAGGGTGTTAGGGCATTCCCTGAATGCTCCTCTCCCCTTCGCCAAGGGCAGACTCGAGGCTTCAAAGAGGCAGGCCTGGCCCCTGCGGAGACGAGATGCTAAGGAAGGGATGCAGCACAGACACGAAGCCAGGAGGGGTCCTTTGGGTGCCCCCGCAAAGGCACCATCAGCAAGCAGTCTGGCCTCCCACCAGCCACCCACGATGCTGTTGGCCACAGCTAGATTGCTACAGACAGCAGGGCCAGGAAGATGCAGCAAGCCCAGTGATGTGAGGCAGGAGCTGCCTATGCCCCTCCTTTCCCGCCTCTTCTGATCCCTCTTGGTCAAGGTCATCAAAGAAGTGATGACGCTGCCCTTGGACAGCAATGGAGGACATCACTCCCACAGGCCTCCAGAGCACTAAGGGGAAGGGCTTGTAGGGAACTTCGAGGCTCCTCCCAGGCACTTGCTCCACCCTCTCAGAGAAAACCACAAATGGGGAAGTTGGAATTTCCAGAGCCATCCCTTCCCAGAGGGAACAAACATTCCCCTCCAAGGTGCTCTGGGCCTTTCTGACTGATCTTATCTTTCCCTGGCCGGATGAGCGAGGTCATAGGAGGGGAGCCTGCCTACTTCTTGCGCCTCAGCTCTTCCAGCCCCAGCACTCACTAGCCACGCAGAATGCATTTCATAAATATTCACTCATTGCTACACAGCAACATTCACTTAGGAGACAGTATCTTGATTAAGCAGACATGCTCCAGGGAAAGGAACCAGATGGAGGAAGAGACAAGAGTGACAGACACACACAAAGGGCTTCAACGGAGGGCCAGGTTGGGCAGCTGAAGAGGTGAACTGGACACAAGTCACCAAGTAACTTACAGCTTGGTCCCCCTCCCCTTGCTCCCCACCCTTCCGGATGCACTTAATGGAAGTTGGCCTCAATGGAGGGACAGTGAAAAAAAATTGGGGGGCACAGTGCTTGATGAGGGAAAAAAAAAAAGAAAAAGGAAGGCAGGGCAGGAAAAGGCCATTCTAGTTGACCGGTAGCGACCCGATGACCAGCAGGACTGGAGGCACCAAAGAACCCAAGTGAGGGGCCGCCCGGGCAAGTGGAGCCTGGAGGGTGCTTCTGACCAGCTCCGAGGCCTAACCACCTAATCCCCATCATGGCTTTCCCCTCCGTTACGTCTGCAGTAGGACTTCCGGCTCAGACAATGAGCAATAAAGGGTGTACCCCAATTCATCTATTTCTCCAGGGGTAAGCTCTGAAAATAGGTTCACCTTGGGGTTCAGGGCACTAGGCAGGACTCCGGCCTCCAAGTGGCCAATCAGGGCCCTGAGCGCCTGCAGAAAGCGGTTGGCAAGCACGTCCTGAGACCAGTCAGTTTCCTCTTGGGCCAAGTGGAGAATGACATTGGTGAGCTGACTGGCAGTGAGGTGGCCCAAGGCCGGGCTGGACTTGCATATAGCCTTGAGGATCTTGAGGCAGAGCGCTCGGCAGCCTCCATCACCCTGGTCCAACGCCCGCAGGCGGGCGGTCTCTGCAGGCCGCAGGCTCAGTCTCCACAGGTTATCATACTGGGCCAGCCGGTGGGGCCTGGCCACAAGGACTGTGTCCCCGAGCGTCACCGACGGCAGAAAGTCAATGACGAGGCGCCGGTTTTGCTCATACTGCACTTCCAGCGTCAAGGCCTCAGGGGGTGGAGCTGGGCGGATCACACAGTCTAAGAGGGACCCAATGGCTGGCCAGTTAATGGAGCCGGCCACGACCTTCTCAAATGTCTCTGCCACAGCCCTGGGGGAGAGGTAACCGCCAACCACACAGCGGTCCCAGTAACTGCTGCCCCGGGGAAAGTACTCCGGGTTCTCTCGCCGCACCAGGAAGAAGCCCGGGACGTTCATGATGGTGTCCTCCCCAGGAATGCAGGACCACAGGTTCTGCTCCAGGACCAGAGGCACAATGAGCTGAATGTGGTCAGCAGTCACCACCTGTCAAGAGAAGGCACACAGTGAAAGGAAGGGATGCCAACACCTGCCCCACACACAGAGTCAAAGAAATGCGACTCCCTCCTGCCCAGACCAGCCTCCGCTGCTGCAACCTGCCCGGTCCCTGAGGGCACTGAGGGGGCACTTCCAAGGAGCCCTGAAATCTCACGTCCTGCCTCGCGCTGGCCTTCCTACCCTCACCCTACAACCCTCCTCACTGACCCCATCTTATCTGCACACCAAGGGCTCTGTTTGACCAGATACGGCAGAGGGAGGATCTCTCACCACTCGGGCCTTAGTGCAGCAGCCAAGGCCACCCCCACTATCCACGGACATGCGCAGAGGTACCTCCCACCTCAGTAGCTTCCCCGGGGCCTAACCCATGGTCTTACCCATAGAAAACCCTCAGCGAGGGCATGCTGCGCTGATTAAGCCCCAAATAAAAGGCAATGGGGAGGGGAGGAGGTCACAATGCTGACCTGGAGGGGCAGGGCTCATGATGCAGAAGATGCTATTCTCCCCCCAGCCCCAAGACATCTTTGGACTGAATGACTAGGGCCATCAGAGAACAGGCCGAGGTCAGAATGTGAAAGGACCCCACTCACCTGCAAGTCGTCATAAAGGCTGCCGCTCAGGTACATGTCTCGCAGTGGCATGTCAGGCAGCTTGGCCCGGAGGAAGCTCCGGAGCTCGGCACATATGTCCACAGCCGCCTGCTTGGCCCGGGCCTGCTCACCCGGGGGGATGGCTGCCCGGTTCCGATAATAAGCAACCAGCTTCTCCTGCAGGGACAGGCGGAGCCGTGACTTCTTCAAGTCTACCTGGCTCTTCTTGGTGGCTGGTTTGGGTCTGGGGGGGGCAGAACCCATCTGCCAAGGAAGGCAAAAAAATTCACATGAGAACCCATCGATGCTGGTCCACTTCATCCTCCCCTGGGATCCATCAGGCCTCCATGCCAAGGAAATGGAAGGGTTCTGCAGAACGAGCAGAGTAGGGCGGAGACGGGGCCAGAGCGTGGCCGACTCTCACCTGCGTCGAAGGCGGAGGGATCAGTGGGCAAAGTCTGCAGGGACCTGCTCAAGCTGGTCTTCATGTCCTGCGTCAGTAAGCGTGACGATCCCATCCAGCTCGGCTCCTCCCAGCTTCTTTTCCCTGAATGGCTCAGGCGAGTGGGGCTGCTGGGGGCACTGATCGCCCGGTCGTACATCTACAACCCCCCCCACCGAGATAGAAGGAAGGAAGGTGAACAACCCCGGGCAATCGCCAGCACGTCTGAACATTTACTTAAATGCCTACTGTGTGCAAAGCACTGTGGAGGAATAAAGTGAAAGGACAGGATTCCTCACAGTACCTCGTGGTCCTGGCAGTCTCGGGCACCAACGTGCCAGCAGATACCCTAAAGCACTACAACACCTGACCATACATTAGAAAGATTCTGAACAAGCTGCCAAGGGGGATCCCGGAGAGAAGACCATCTCCACCTTCCCCGGCTGGGGAGGAATTCAGCAGGCCAAGAGAGAACACTTTAGGTGTGGGAGGCAGAAGAGCTGGGGCAGTCCCAGTTGTTGGTTATCAAGGGCAGGGAATGATGTGATTGGTTTGGAAAAGCAAAGCAGCTCCCAGCTGTGCAGGGAACAGCTGGATTCTGCAGGACATCAGCTCCTGGCAGCCCCTCTGACCCGCCCTCACTCACCCGTTTGACGGCCAAGGTAGCAATCCCCAGCATGGCCGCTCCGCCCACCCCCAGCACCAGCCGGGCATTGGACAGCACAAAATCAATGGCGGTGCCGATGCCGTTGTCATCCTTCTTGCCTTTCCCTTGGCGCTCACCAGTCCCTGCCATTGCTCCCCTGCGGGCAGAAGCAGAAGGCACACACAAAACTGCCAGTGAGTGACGATTTACCAGTCAAGACCCAACTCTCTCCAGCCACCCCAGGCTGCTGTTTCTGCTCAAGCCCTCCCCACCACCCTCCTGACCACATGTGGGGTCAGGTGCCTCCTTCCTGCCTGTCCTAAAGACTTCTGGACAGACCACACGTGCACTGTCCGGGTCCCAGCCAGCCCGAGCCTCTTGCCTCACCCTGTCTGCTCCAGAGGGAGATACTGGGCTTTATGACACAGTTGGCAAGGTGAGGGTGGGGGTAAGAATGAGCATGTCTGTGACAAGGAAGAAAAGCTCTCCCCTTCTTTATGTGAAACTTATCTAGCTCCCCAGAGACCCTTTCTCGTCTCTTGAGGTGTAGGCCACCCCATTCCACCAAGCACCCTGGCTACTTCTGTAAGGACCTGCACGGGTTACTTCTGGCTGTATTTTCGTAAGGAAACAAGAGCATAGGCTGGCCAATTACACTGGCACAGAAGGCAATATTGGGTCAAACATGGAAGAGACATAACAAAAAGACAGGGCACGTCGAAAACCCTTTCTGGGTACTCGCTACAGGGGGGCTGTTGGGTTATAAGACAATTGCTCTTGGGGGAAAGTATGGGGTGAGAAAGATGATCTGCAATGCTCTGGTGAGGATAACTATGTACACCTGATAGTGATCAAAGTAAATACTTCCAGACTTTGCTGGAGTTAACTGGAAAAAGAAACCCAGGCCCTGGCAAAGTTAAACAAACATCCTATGACACTGGAGGTCAAGCCCTTTGAATCAAAGAGGCCAGGTCCTGGTCTCATGCCTGTAGGGTCCTTGGGTCACCAGGGATAGTCACTGGTCACTACACGTGGCCACTACTTGGGTAAACTGGTCAAGATGATTTCCAAACGAGCCTGCGTTCTGAAGCACCACAAGCACTGTTGTCTCAGTTCAAGGCAGAATACTGCTCTTCCTGTCACTCCCTTAGTCCAGACTCCTGGCTGTTTGCAGCACCAAGAGAAGGCCAATCAGAATCACACCGTGCACTGCATCCTGGCAAGGCCTCCACAGATTTTAACATCCAAGTTCATGAGTATCTGGCAGATTTTTCACTGCCCTTTTGGAAAGCCCTTAAATCAGCGTTTGGCCCTGGTTGATAACTCTGGTGTGCTGTCCTGTTACTGCCATTCCAGCTGCTCCAGTCTTCATTACGTTGGTATGTAAACTCCTGGAGGGTAGGGATCCTTCTGCTTGTAGGTGCACTCCCAGTGCTTAGCACATGGCCTGGAACCCAGTGAGCACTTATAAATGCTTGTCCACTCTGCCATCACTCTCTTCTGCGAGAGTTTAGGGCCCATAATAACCCAACATTTGAGACTCGCTCAGATGCTACAGGAGAAGGGCCTTTATTCTTGTCTTCCTTCTGCTGAAGGTGGCAGGACGGGGTGTAAGCCTGGAGGCCTCGAAGGCAGACTCTCGAATGTGTGTGTTCTTGGCCACAGCTTCAAAGAGAGAGGCCAACCGGGGCTATTTTTACCTTGCAAATCAGGCAAGAATTTCCATATACTTACTCTGCCTCCAAGCCCCCCCCCACCCATTGTAGAGCCTGCCTAGACAACTCAAACTCGGCTAAAATGTCCATAGCAATACAATTCTGCTAGTTTCCAAGTCTGAATTCTCACTGCCTACAAATTATCGGATTTTTCCTCCCCCCTCAAAAAGAAAATACCTCATTTGTGAGATATGTAACAGACAGCCCCAGAACACTCCTGTTCATAGCCTGGGTCTCAGCCTGAAAACACAGATGCCATAACTGGGGGGCACTGTCTCCCACCTACAAAGAGACCTACTGAGATTCCCCTGGTCCCAGTTCCTGGGGTTGAGGAGAAAAGGATCTCTGTTAAGAACAAATCCTCCAGCCTTTTCATGTCCAGTGACCAGTTAGCAGCCAGGATTTAGCCTCTGGGTTACATTTTTCCCTCCCTATCAGGGATGAGAGAAGCCTCCTGACACTTGAATTTGAATGCAGGCCTGTGTTTAAAATCCAAAGAAAGCAGGTCGGACTTGTTAAAGAACTCTTCCAGATGGAGGGGAACACCCCCGTAACTCTGGGCTAGATAAGATTTCAAACATCTGATGACTTGAAGGAGGAAGTTTCAGAAGGCCAACTGGAGAGATGAAAAGTCAAAAATATGATTCACCCTTTCCTAGTTGAGACGAATGTATGCCTAATTATTATAGACTATCTCAAAGAATTAGTGTGGCGTGGTAAGGCAGGCTAGGGAGGAAGAAGCTAGGCTGCATGACCCAATGACCTAAAATCTAGATGCAGATCTGGGGAAGGAAGGGCCAAGCAAGTTTCTGTAATTTCAGACAGGTTACTTAACCTGTTTCTCCAGGCCTAAAATGGGACTATCATTACTAGCCACACAGACTAATGGACTGAAACCTGGGAAAGACTAAGCTGAAAGGGGCAACAGTAGAGTACTATGAAAACACATCCTACTTCTACAGGAATTTCACTGATGACTACGAGGTCACATGTCCAGGAGCTCCTCAGTAAACATGGCTGGCCTGACCACAAGTGGACAATAATACCCTCCAGCCTCTTTGGTCTGAGCTAGACTTACCCTTCACCCACTGCTATTACCTAACCTCTGGAAGCAGAGGGCAGCAATGGGGGGATGGGAAACACACAGTCCAAACAAAGAGCTCTGGCTTCTGTGGTGCCTGGAAGTTTACAAGGAGGGGGTTATCTTTAAAGCACTTTCTCCCCACCACCCCTGTGAGAGGCAAGTATCAGTGTTATCACAGCTGTCCAGTCATGGTGTCACACCCCTTATTGGTAAGCCCCAGGGGTGGGGTGGGGGGCCCCCCGCTGTGGTTTCAGCACAGGCAGAGAGCGCCCTGCTCCCAGGGTAGACACCGCACAGAGAGCAGTAAACCCCAGGAAGCCTCCCCGAGCTGCCTGTGGGTATGGAGGCCAGGCTCAGTGTAGATAGCACAGGGCCAGCCTGCAGACCTGAATTCAAGTTCCTCTGGCGCATAATTGACCCTGTGGCCATAGCAAAGTCACTTCACCTCTCCTGGCACCAGGCAAACTCTCCAACTTGTCCGTGAATATGACTTGCCAGTGATGAAGCCCACATCATCAGTAACATCCCTTTGAAGTGCAGCATTCCTCAACACAGATCCAGTCAGGAAATAGGCCAAACCCTGCTGTACCTATGCGGGGATAGGCTCCGATCCTCAGGATCTGGCCAGAAGTACGCTGGGCACAATCAGGGCTACTCTAAGAGGGCTCCACTAGATAACTTCCTAAGGAACGCTGTGCCCACCACAGCTCCCAAGGGCAGCAGATGGATGGGGGGCATCTCCCCCACTTTACTGACACAGAAAGCAGACCTGAGAGGTTGTGTTTAACCTAAGAGGACACAAGAAATCAGGAGACTAGGCTCCAGTCTTGACCCCGGGAGGTCCAATCTGCAGCCCTGCCCATCGCCCCTTCCCTCCAATGTATATTAAAATCCACTGCAATAGGTAGCCAGCCCCCAGGAATACACTTCACTCCCAACCTCATGAGAAGGGAGGACAAGCATTTGGTAGAAGAGGAAATGGACACTCAGAGGTTAACCGAGACCTCACACACAGCTAATAAAGCAGCCACACCTGGCCACCAATCTAGGCCCAGGGTTCTTTCCACTGGGGCGCGCCACCTCTGGTTCGGGGTACGGAGATGGACCTTCCAGAGATTAACCAGCTGCTACGGTAACTCCAAAAGACACCCCTCCTTCCCCCACCGCCAGATTTCTGATAGCTACAGGAAAGCTCTGATGTGACTAAGGGTTCAGATCTATGTATGTGGTGGGACCCTGAGCTCACCTTTACGTGGTTTTACAAAACACCACCCTCCATTTTATAGATCAATGAAGTTGAGGCCCAGAAAGGAGAGTGGCCGCCCCTGGCTGGCCGTGTCACAGCCAGGCCACGGATGCCAAGTGCCCAAGTCCAAAGCCAGTCCTCGCTCCACTCCTCCCCTCCACCCCGTTTCCTTTCTATAAACTCTTCGTCTTCGGCCCTGGAATGTTCTTACCAGACTCAATCTTGCCAGCATTCCTTTGGCGGGTAATTTGTCCTTTAAGGCAGTCTGTCACTGGGGTACTGGTATTTCTTCTTCCACCGAATCACTCTGGTGCTCGGGCAGTTTCAGTCGTTCAGGGCATTGTCCCCTAGCATCTTCCCTCTGATCCCTTTTGATTTCGGCTGATTTTTCAAAATCTCTTTGGTTTCCCTTGACTTTTCTTCATTGTTTTTTGATCACCATCAGAGAAGCCGTCTCCCTTTAGGCCTCAAGTTCCCGACTCCTCGAGTTAGGAAAGTACAAAGGGCTTTCTTTCCTTCCAACTCTAGGAAGTAAAGAGCTTGGGAATTATTAACCTCGAGACAGACAGCACAGGAGCCACTCAGAAGTAACTTGGCCAAGGTGACTCTGCTCCTAAGAGGTGCAAAACTGGACTTGGCGCCAGCTTTCTCGACACCAAATCCTAGAACACTCCCCATCCATCTGGCCTTACCTGCTGCAGCACTGGGGCCTCCTGTCCACCATTTCCTCTATTCCTGGTCCTCCTGACTCTCCCCTTACCTGTCTGACCACTCTGCAGTTTCCTTGGCTGGTTCATCGCGCCCCCAACTGTGGGTGTTTCCCCAAGCTCTATGCTGGCCATTCCCCCATCTTTTACAGAAGCCCTCAAGCCTCCAACAGCAATCTTCTTCCTTCTCAAGCCACCCAATATTTCGCCATTTTATTTACTTCTACTTATGTATAGATGGGTAATGTATTGATGTGACTGTCCCACCATTAGAATGTAATCTCCTTGAACACGGGGACTGTTTCCGTTTCTGTTTTTGGCTCTACCACCAAAGCTTGAGCCCAAGGCCTTGGAGCCTGATTTCTTTATTTAGGAAAGGAAGCACACAATCAGACAGC